CGTCGTCGTCCTCATATCACGATCGACCCCTTCGGCCTCGACGTGATTATTTATCTCGAGACCGGTCTTAGTCATTCCTTTACCGGATGACGACCGTTGTATGGATTTTTGGACCGGTCCCTCATCACCGTCGTCCTCACATCATGCCCGACCCCTCGGCCTCGGCGTGATTATCTATCTCAGGACCGGCTTCCTCAGCGCCGAGAGTCTTGAGCTGGCGATCGGGCTCACCATCCCTTCCTGGATGGTGACCGTCGCCTTTACATGACGATTGGCCCATCATGGCCTCGTCATCATTTATTGGAACGGCTCATCATCGCCGTCATCCTCACATCGCGGCAGACCCCTCGGTCTCAAGTCTCAACGCGATCTTGAGCTAGCGATTGGGCTCACCATCCCTTCCTGGATGGTGACCATCGCCTCTATATGACGACCGGCTCATCATTGCCCCGTCATCATATTTCGGATTGTTTTTTTTTCATCTCCATCCGCGCATCACGACCGCCGCCCCGACCTCGGCATGACTATCTATCTCAAGACCGGCTTCCTCAGCGCCGAGAGTCTTGAGCTAGCGATCGGGCTCGCCATCCCTTCCTGGATGGTGACCATCGCCCTTATATGACGATCGGCTTCATTCTTGCCTCGTCATCATATTATCGGATCGGCTCATCATCTCCGTCCGCACATCACGATCGGCCCCTCGGCCTCGGCGTGATTATCTATCCCCAAGACCGGTCTCAGTCATTCCTTCATCGGATGGCGACCGCTGCTTGAACTTTTGGATCAGCCTCATAGTGCTGACAAACTCGCATCACGATCGGCCCCTCGGCCATGACACCACACCCTATCCCAACACCGGCTTCCTCAGCGCCGAGTGTGGTGGGCTAGCGATCAGGCTCGCCATCCCCTCCTGGATGGTGACTATCACCTCTATATGACGATCGGCTCCATCATCGCCTTGTCATCATATTTCGGACTGGCTCATTATTGCTGTCCGCACACCACGATCAGCCTCTCGGTCTCGACGTGATTATTTATCTCAAGACCGGCTCCCAGCGCCGAAGTCTTGTTATAGCGATTGGGCTCGCCATCCCTTCCCGGACGGCGACCGTCGCCCCTATATGACGCACGGCTCATCATCGCCTCGTCCTCACATTTAGACCGGCCCCAGCGCCGAAGTCCTTATCTAGCGATCAGGCTCGCCATTCCCTTCCTGGATGGTGACCGTCGCCTTCATATGACGCATGGCTTATCATCGCCTCGTCCCCATATTCGGACCGGCTCACCAGCGCCATCGTCCCCATATCGGACCGGTTCGTCAGCGCTGTCGTCCTCATATTCAGACAGGCGTCCACCGCCTCGTCCCCCTATTCAGATATAGCGAACATCTTGCGGTCTCCGACCGAAAGGCTAAAGGAGCCCAGAGTTCAGCCATATATCGCTCCGTCATCTTTATTTGATAACGCGAAGCTCATTTGCAGGCCCACCGGCCATATATCGCTCTGTCATCTTTATTTGATGATGAAGAGCTCATTTGTAGGCCCATCGGCCATATATCGCTCTGTCATCTTTATTTAATGACGAAGAGCTCATCTACAGGACCATCGGCCATATATCGTTCTGTCATCTTTATTTGATGACAAGGAACTCATTTGTAGGCCTCTGAGCCACATCTTGCTCCGTCATCTTTATTTGATGACGTGAAGCTCAGTTGCAGGCCCATCAGGCATATATCGCCTCGTCATCTTTAATTGATGATGCGAAGCTCATTTACAGGCCCATCGGCCATATCTCGCTCCGTCATCTTTATTTGATGACATGGCACTCGCATATAGGCTCCTGAGCCATACATCACCCCGTCATCTTTATTTGATGATGTGGGGCTCTCATGTAGGCCTCTCGGCCATACGTCGCCCCGTCATCTTTATTTGATGACGTGGAGCTCTCATATAGGCCTCTCTCGTCCATACATCACCCCGTCATCTTTATTTGATGATGTGGGGCTCTCATGTAGGCCTCTCGGCCATACGTCGCCCCGTCATCTTTATTCGATGACGTGGAGATCTCATATAGGCCTCTCTCGACCATACATCACCCCGTCGTCTTTATTTGACGACGTGGAGCTCTTATGCAGGCCCCTCGGCCGCACCATCACCCCGTCGTCTTTATTTGACGACGTGGAGCTCTTATGCAGGCCCCTCGGCCGCACCATCGCCCCGTCGTCTTTATTTGACGACATGGAGCTCTTATGCAGGCCCCTCGGCCGCACCATCGCCCCGTCGTCTTTATTTGACGACGTGGAGCTCTTATGCAGGCCCCTCGACCGCACACATCGCCCAATCGTCTTTATTTGACGACGTGGAGCTCTATGCAGGTCCCTCGGCCATACATCGCCTCGTCGTCCTTATTCGACAACGTGGAGCTCTCGTACAGGCCTCTCGGCCCACCGGCCTTACGTTCTGGTCATCTTTATTTGATGAACCAGACATCATATTGTGGACGGTCGCTCGACCCATCCCTTAGTCATCTTTATTTGATGACTAGGACTACTGATCATGATGAGCTACCCATATCTAGAGATCGGCCTCGACCATCGCCCCAGCAGACGGGCACCGTTGCAGCTCCATCTCCAGGCCGAAGGGTTCGCACCTTTTGTTTCATTTTGGGGGCATCCGGTGTACTCTTTTTCCCTCATTAGGATTTTTTCCCATTGGGTTTTTCCTAATGAGGTTTTTAACGAGACATCTCCCCGTCGTGGATCAAAAGGTGTCAACCCTCGGCCCCCTGTTGAAGACATCATCCGACACGCATTACTCTACTCCTCTTCACCTCATTACACTCGCCTCAAGGAGTGGGGCACTGGAAGAGCGGGGGACTTAGCGCCTCCGTTAACCAAAGAAGCAGAAATTCAAATTTTTGTTCATGAAGTTTACTCACCAGACGGCGACAGATCAGCACACAGTTCTACTCTCTTTCGCCTCAAATACTCTCGACTCAGAGAGTGGGGGACTCCTGATAGAGTATATAGACTCGGACCCCCGGGTCTCACGACTATTGGACCCGGACAGCGGCCCACGAACACTCAACTGATAGCATTTTCATTATTGTACATTATTATTATTATTCAGGTGTTCTAGATTAGCCTTTTATATTATCAGTCCATTTATGTAACCGGATCTGTCAGGCCCATATTAGAGGTCCAGACCCGGATATTCTTCTATATATACTCCCTTAGGGAGTTCTTGTAAACCTAATTTCACAATTCACTATTCATTCATCTTCTTCCCCACATCAGCTCAAATCTCTCCATTTTAATATACTTTGGATACCCTATAATCCATCATTGACCCTCGCCCCTTCCCTACCCTTACCACGACCTTACCCTCCACCCCTACTCCCACCCATACCAACTCCCACCCTACTCGTAGGGGTTGGATCGAAGTAGGGGCATGTGATATGGGGTAAAGGGGTCGGGGTATGGTAATGGGAGTGGGTGGGGTCGAGATAGGGGCAGGAGGTAGGGGTAAAAGGGTAGGGTCAGGGTAAGGGGTACAAGTGGAGGTAGGGGGTGGGGATGGGGGTAAGGGGTAGGGTAGGGGTGTGGTCGAGTCAAGGTAGGGGAAGATGGTAGGGGGTAAAGGGGTGAGGGTGGGGGTGGGGGTAGGGGTGAGGGTGGGGTAGGGCAGGTGGTGGAGGGTAGGGGTAGGGGTAAGGTGGGGTGGGGGTGGGGTATGGTCGGGTCAAAGGTGGGGGTGTGGGTAGGGTGGGTCGAGGTAGGGGCAGGGGGTAAAGGGGTAGGGGTGGTGTCGAGGTCAGGGTCGAGTCAAGGTAGGGCGAGGTGGTAGGGGGTAAAGGGGTAGGGGTAAGGGGTGAGGGTGGGATGGGGTAGGGTAGGTGGTGGAGGGTAGGTTCGGGGTAGGAGTAAGGTGGGGGTGGGGTAAGAGAATGAATAACCTAGGGCTACAAAGGGAAGAGACATAAAACGGAAATGATCCATTGAATCCTTCGAGATCGCTAACCCCTCAATAATGTAAGCTAGTCTAACAGCATTGTTTCTCTTCTTGTTACTCCAAAGAGAAAACAAAAAACTATAATTAAAAGATCCGGCTTTACCAGCCGTCGAAAAGGGAGAATTGGTTTGACCAGCAACCAACAAAGGAAACTCAATTGAGTATAAATTATCCGGATCATAAGTTTGACCAGTCAGCGAAATGAGCACTATCTTTTTCTTCGAGTGAGGCGGTGGTTCAGGAGGAAGACAAGTAAACAAAGATTCAGAAGAACTAGGTTGGACCTGTCTTACTAACCATGAATAATGAACCACTCAATTGGTTACACCGACGAGGAAGACACAACTTCTAGGCATTGTTAGAAGAAGAACAACACACACGCTCACCTGAAGCGGACATAGCTCTCCACCAAAAAAGATGTTGGACCAAAACCAAAACCCTTATGAGATAGAAATCACAAAAGAAGAGACAACAAGGTAAAACCTAGCCAGTCCGAAAGAAGAAGCCACAGGATTAGATCGCCAAAACTCTAGCCAATCCGAAAGAAGAAGCCACGGGATGATCGCCCAACTCGCCCCTTAGACCACTTGGAGTGGTGTAGGCTTAGGAGTCCAAAATGCTAAAAGTGGAATTTTTGAACTCCTAATTTCTTGTAGTGGTTGGCTATGTGGGGGAGTAGAAATGGATAAGGGGATGAATGTGGGTATATCTGAAGGGTGGATTGACAGCCTAAAACTAAATGGAAAAGAAAAAATAAAGGGGGAGTGGGGGCGGACAACCTGTTGTGCGCAGAGGGAAAGAGGCCAAGTGGCCCTTGGTGCGTAGGAATTATTTGCCCAAGCTAACGTCATGCTGACGTCACACATCACCCACAACGTGTTTTGGTACCTCCTTTTTTAAACCAATCAGATTAAAGAGAATTCCACGTCAGATCAACACCTAATTTTACGTTAAAGCACACTGTAATTTCAATATTTGCAATTGCAATACATTCCCTCCTCCATCTGCAGTAACATTCCTTAGACGGTAGACGGCTGCCGTTACAAACAGTAGAAAGAAAACACTCGCCGAAATAAGGAAGAGGATGCGCAAGGAAGAAAGACTGAAAGAAGAACCTGCGAATTAAGGACCTGTGCCGAATTAAAGAGGAAGAAGAACCTGCGGCGCAAATAACCCGTGGCTCTCAATTATGGAAGAAGCTGCGCCGCTCAACGAAGAACCAGCAACGCCCAAAGAAATTACATACTCCGGCGAGAACGCAGAGGTAAGAAGGATTATAATGCTAATAATGCTAATATTGTAAACTGTGTAGGCTAGATTTCGTAACGAATCATCCTCTAATTGAGTTTCATTAGATGAATTAGCTAATTAATAGATCTGATTCAAATTTTTAGTATAGCGTTGTTCAAGTGCCTTACGATCTGGTTGATCGATCCCAATTCTAATCTCTTGGGCTATTTGTTTTATATCACTGATCTCTATGGGCTGTTTTTTAAAACCTTTGCTTTTTGTTTGAAGAAATATGTCAATCTAATGAATGCAAAGTGTGAGGATAGAATGGGGGCTGAGAATGTAGGAACCAATCATGTTACTGCAAAAGGAAAAGAATGAAAAGCTCAATGAAAATATAACTGATAGACAGCTAGATGTATGGTAGTACTTATTGGCAATGAAGCCATGGTCCCCTACACTACAAATCTTAGTACCTTTTAAAAAGAAGAAGTTCTCAACCTATTTGTTTCTGTTGCTTCTATTTTCCCTTTGCTTAGGAAAATTAAATATGCAACACAGTACTTGTACAGAGATGGTGACTTTTGCTTAATTGTGGTTGGCACTTTATGGTTGATTTGTACATATCATAGGGAAGGATAAACTTTGTACAGATCTGTAGATTATTTTACTGCTAAATGGCTTAGGGGTGTGTTAGGTTTAGTACATTAGAAATGGCATATACTGAACACCATGTCTACTCTAATGCTTGAAAAAAAATGGTTGTTGGTACTAAAGAACAAGATACATGTGGTAGGAACAAGATAATGGTTTGCTGCCATTTTATTTGATGCCACTGAGGACTTCAAGGAGCAAAAATACTAGTTGAAGTATGCTACTAACTCTGATTGTATTTCTGAAAATGTCTTGAATTGAAAGTGAATGATTGCCAAGTTGCCGCCATTGTATCACCATTGTTCATCAAATGTTAAAGAATATTGTATCATTATCATCATCTTAATATCTTTGTAATCTTAAAAAGAAAGCATTCTTGTATTTTATGTTCTAGAGGGAAATAGCAGTTTTGGTAAAAGATGTGATGCGTGGGTTTTGATCTTCTCCATCTTTTTATCACTTTTTTAGAATTCAATTAGTTCGAATATTTACTAATTAAAATATACTTTAATATGCTCTCATTTTTTATAGAATATATGTGGCAGTTCATCATATGATAAATCAGATGAGGAAGGCGGTTCTCTATCAAATGGTGAAAGTGAAAAATCCGGTGATGAACATGGCGCTGGCATGAATCTTGAAGATGGTGAGTTTAAAAGGATTTCAGACTTGACGCCAGATGAGATACGTGCACTACAATTTGGAAGTGAAGATGAAGCTTATGAGTTTTACTCGAAGTATGCCAAATGTCATGGTTTTGTGGTAAGGGAACACAGTGTACGTCGTAACAAAAGTAACAAATTGGTTACACGTCACTTTGTATGCAATAGACAGGGATTAAGAAACCCAAAACATTTGACAAGGTCCGACAGGAAAAGAGGTCATAGACCGTTAACCCGAACTAATTGTGATGCAAAGTTTCATATACGTTATAAGGCAAAAGATTCATGTTGGATAGTGACATGTTTTCAAGAGACTCATAACCATGAATTGACCCCTTCAAAATATGTGCATTTATTATCTGCTTACCGTGGAATGACTGATGCAGATAAAGCACAGGTTGATAGCCTCCATTCACAGGGAATTAGAACTTGTCATATCATGGGGTACATGGTGGCACAAAAAGGTGGATACAATAATGTTGGCTTTACAAAAAAAGACCTATACAACTATTTTGATAGCAAAATGTGTGGTGATATTAAAGATGGAGATGTTATTGCCGCATTAAGCTATCTCCATGGGAAAGCTGACAACGATCCCATGTTATATGCCAAATTCTCTACTACTGATGATGGTAGACTTAGACGGATTTTTTGGGCAGATGGTAAGAGCAGATCTGATTTTGCATGCTTTGGTGATGTGCTTGCTTTTGACACAACGTACAAGAAGAACAAGTACAATTATCCTCTTGTTATTTTCTCAGGATGCAATCACCATTTACAGACTTCTATATTTGGTTGTGCTTTGGTTTCAGATGAAACAACTGAAACTTATAAGTGGGTGCTAGAATCTTTTTTGGAAGCAATGGGCAATAAGCATCCCAATGCAGTAGTGACAGATAGTGATGGAGCTATGAGGGAGGCTATAAAACATGTATTTCCATCTGCATTTCATAGGCTATGTGCATGGCATTTGCATAAGAATGCATGTGAAAATGTGAAGATCCCTCTTTTTCTGAAGGATTTCAAGACTGTTATGTATGCCAATTTTACACGAGATAGATTTGAGACGTTTTGGAAAGATATGGTTGTGCAGCATGGTCTTGAGGGGAACAGCTGGGTTCTCAAAACCTACAACAATAGGTACTTGTGGGCCACAGCATATTTGCGTGATCAATTCTTTGGTCTTTTTCGAACTACATCACAGTGTGAATCTATTAATGCAATCATAAAGACATATGTTAAAAAGAAGTGCAGTTTTTTTGAGTTTATGCATAACTTTGAGCGAGCATTGAGAGAGTTTAGGAATAATGAGTTTGTTGCTGATTTTAAGTCTCATTTTACTACACCTGTCCTCACTACATCACTTCAAAAGATAGAGCAGGAAGCTGCACAAATATTTACTGATGAGATTTTTCAAGAAGTCAAAAATCAAATTATATTGGGTTGTGCATTAATTGTTAAGGAGCGAGTGGTTAATGGGGATGAACTTATATTTCGATTGACGAAGTATTGTGATCTTGATTCTGAAACTAATGTTGTTTATCATACTTCAAAGTTGGAGTTTTCTTGTGCTTGTAAACGATTTGAGTCCCGTGGCATTCCATGTTCACATATCATTTGTGTCATGAAAGAGGAACATGTGGACCATATTCCACATCATTTGGTTTTAACACGGTGGACCAAAAATGCTAAAAGCGCTTTCATGTCATCAAATTCGTGTGAGTCTACAGATCCAGATATGATGGAGCTTGCTCGCTTTGGAGCTTACAGTGGTGCTTGTATCAGGTTTTGTAAAGTTGCTGCAAAAACGAGTGGATTGTACAATGACGTAATGGACGACATATTACATCTTACAGAAAAGTATGAGATGTTGGAGAAGAAGAAGTTAGCTGACCCCATTGGCACAGAAGGTTCATTAGTCAATCATATAGGTGATCCTAATATGGTGAAGACTAAAGGAGCTCCAAAGAAAAATAAGTCAAGTATGAAGAGAGTGCGGCATTGTTCAAATTGTGGAAGCACAAAACACAATGCAAGAACATGTAGGAATGAGAAGCGTAAACATGAAAATGCGTTTTCTCATTCGGACGGTTCTGAATTTAGCACAAGATCTGATCATGTAAGTATGTTAAAGAAGGTATAATTTTATTTCATTATTAGTTTAGTACACTGTTAACAGAATCTTCTTCCAATTATTTCTAATGTTTTGAAGTGCAAACGCAGGATGGTAGCCGTGATTGTAAATCAAAAAAAGCAAAAGGCTCTTCACAAGATTTGGAGAAAGATGGTGTACGTATATCTTATTTATTTTGTGACTATCCTAGCATATTGTTATTTTCAAAAAATGATTGTAAATCTGATATTTGTTAGATGATCAAAGGGGTTTGTTCTTCTGATGGAGGCCATCCTATCTTGTCTCACACACAACCTATGTTTCAACCAAAGCAGCCTCAAATATACGAGCATGGTAGTTCAAGCCAAGCAAATTTGAACTTTTTGAACTATGCCGGAGTTCCTTTTTATCCTCACAATGTGCAATCAGTTATGGTTCCTCCGGAAGTTCCTATTTATCCATTTAATACACAATCTGGTGTGAATAAAAGCTCATCATGTCTTGAATTGCTTCAACAAGTCATTAAAAATAATGGTGCACATAAGAGTAAGTTTTATTTGGTAAATATGTACTGCATGTTTGATACATATTTATCAAAAAGCTAACATTAATAAACACACTTGTTTTGTCCAGGTACACCATGATCATACGAGTAGATCTACTTGATGGATAGTCTACCCGGGGGTATATATCCGAAGGGTTATTACGGGGAATAACTTAGAGAGAAGTCAGAGCAAGCAAGTAAGTAAAAGTAGAGAGAGAGTGTATTCAGTATGAATGCCGTTTTCAGCGTGGTTACAAATGAGGAAATGAGGTGCTATTTATAGTAGCAATAAATGCCGGGCAGGGACACGTGTCAAGCGTTCATTGGTCGAGGGGTCACCTCAACTGGTTGGCGCTGGCAGCCGCATGTGGCCGCATTTAATGCGACTGTTGGATGGGACGTCTGTGCGGGGTACGGTGATCTGTACGCATGTGAGGCGGATATCTTGTCGAGTGAGATGCCTTCGGCTATAGAGCAGTAGCCGAGGGCTCTTTCACCCGATGGCACCCTGGTGCCGAGGGCTCATAGTGCCGAGGGCTACTGTTTTCGCCGTTTTCTCCCAGTTTCTTAATTTGCTTGAGAAACCCGTTCTATGAGAATTTGGAGCCTTCGGCCAGGGGGCCGAAGGCACACCTGGGCGCGTTGTGCGGGCTGCTTGGTACTCTGGGCGCTGTGATTTGGGCCTGTTGGGCCTGTTGGGCCTTCGCTGGAGTAGTAGGAGTCTGTGGACCGGGGGTTCCCGGGCCATATACTCCATCAGGAGTTCCTCACTCCTTTTGCCGAAAGGTACTTGAGGGAAAAGGAGTAATTTGTGCTTGCCCTTTGATGTTGTCCCGTCGTGATCTCTGAAGTTGGTGAGGAGTTGTTGCTTTTATGTCCCTGCCGAAGGCAGTCCCTCAGTTACCCACATGTCGGGACTTGAGGGCTTGCTTCGTTGTTTGTTGGAATTTCTACATCTTTTGTAATTTAATGATTTTCCCGAGGGGGTCCTCCAGTCCCCCACTACTTGAGGCACTTGTAAAGTGGTGAAAAGGAGTAGAGTAGTTGCGTTGCTGTTGTGGGCCGAAGGCTGACGTTTTTCGTTTCATTTTGGGGGGATGCCTCGTTAAAACCTCATTAGGAAAAAACCCTGGGGGAAAAAATCCTAATGAGGGAAAAAGAGTGCACCGAATTCCCCCAATGATGAATTGAAAATGTCAAACCTTGGTCAAAAATGGAGAATAACGGTAATGCCGAAGGCTCTTCTTTTTCTGAAGGCTCATGTATTGATCAGCCGAAAGCTTGCCGTTGATATCCTGGGGATGCCGAAGGGGAGCCCCTCAATCCGGGGATCGAGGGCCTGCTAGATGAGGGCGGCAACGGAGTTGTTACTGGAGGGTCCACTGTTTGTTGATTAGTTGGTGATGAAGATGCCCGAGGGCTCCCATTACCTGTGTGCGACGGGTTATCCGTCAATGAAGGCAACTCCCCGGGGGCTACCTGGTTTTGCAGTGCTGAGGGGGAATTCCCGAGGGGTGCCCTGATATGAAGCCTTGGGTTTCTGAAGGAGTGATCCCGAAGGCGTCTGTTATGTGCTGTGTGGGACACACCCCGGGGGCACTTCTGAGTGAGTGCACCCGGAGGCTATCCTCGATGAAGTGGAGTGGAGTAGAAAACCCGGGGGCTTCCAGAATACAGCCGTTGGAAATATAGCCGTTGGAATATGTAACGACGGGATATAGCCGTTGGGGGGGTGGCACACGTGGCGTGTGATGGCTGGCTGTTCGCGGGCGGCGTCACCGGTTGGGTGAAACGACGGTGTGTAATGATGACGGTCCGTCCGGAGGCCCGGTTTCCAGGCCCAAGCCCGGTTTCCAGCACCTATAAATACCCCAATGCCAGAGCCATTCCCGCTGTGCGAACTCAGTTGTCTTAGCGAAGCTCTGCCAAAAAATCTAGTGAGAGAAACTCAAGCCTTCGGTCCTAACTCAGCTTTCGAGGTCAGTGCTCCCTGCCTTTCTCCTTCTAGTATAGTTGTACATTGCGCCCTCGGGTTAGGAGATAGAATTCACTAGAAACCTTAGTTCCCCCGAACCCTCGAGCTAGAGTTAGAATGTCGTCCCAGAGTGACTCTCAGGACATTTCGAGGATGCCCTCGATGGAGGACGAAGGCATCTCCGACGTGGAGTCCAGCAGCGGCCAGCCCTCGGGTGGTGCTGATGCCGTCCTGGCCCGGGAGGTCCAGAAAGAACTTATTGCGGAGGTCGAAGCCGAGGGCTTCGAGCAGGAGTGCGAGGATGAAGACTTAGCCCTCGCATGGCAAACAGCGGAGGATGAGGCGCAGAACGAGAGCTCAAAAGTTACGATTGCTGTTCTCCCCACTCGGGGTTCCGGGGAGGCCAGTAGCTCGAGGCCGCTGGATCCGATACCTCTGAGGGCGGTTTCCGGTTTGAAGAAGAAGAAGGCCGCTACCAAGAAGAAGGAGAGGGCCGTCGATCAAGGAAAGCCCGTGGACATGCCCGAGGGGTACAGTTGGCTGAACACTGAGGCCCTCGAGATCAGGTCGAAGGCTGATAGGGCAGATCTGTACGTGACTCAGCTGCACGTGGGGCCCTCGGCCGAAGTGGTGGAGCCAGGTCCCGACGACGTGTTGTCCAGGGCGCCCGAGGGGTGTATCGCTATTCACGTCCTCTCGGTTTCCATGGGACTTAGGTTCCCTCTGCACCCGTTCCTCCGGGAGTATTTGAGGTTTGTTGGTTTGGTCCCCTGCCAACTCACGCCCAACAGCCACTCCTACATTGCGGGGTTCCTCCAGCTCTGCAAGTCCCGAGGGGTGAAGCCCAGCCTGGATCTATTCTTCCAGAGTTTTAATTTGTGCCGGGGGGGCACGAAAACGGCGAGGGGTACGCAAACCTGCAGCAGATTGCCCGCTTCAAGCTATTCTCCGATGCTCCTTCTTCCAACAAAGGATGGAGGGAACGTTGGTGCTACGTAAAGTTGGGTGAGAGAGAGCCCATTCCCGAGGGAGCTGCGTGATCGATTTCGAAGGCACGAAAAAATCAGGAGTGCTGCTCTCGAGAAAGACGGCCTAAAGCTGGCCAAGTTCCCGGAGGGGAAAAATAAGAACGTGGTGATCAAAGACTGCACCCTCGAGGAGGATTTATACACCCTCGGGTTCCGGAGGTACCGCTTCATAGGGGAGACCGATGAGAAGTACCCTCCCTTCGACAAGGCCTTCGGAGGAGCCGGGGGTAGGAGCCGAGGGCTTTAGAATTCTGTACCTAGTTTTATTTTTGCTTGGATGTCATTGTCCCTTCGATTAGACCCGTCGGACTGACCCTTTGTCTCCTTTTTGCAGGTATCCCCGTCTCCATGGTGAACGTGAAGGGCCTTACTCGCCTGAAGAAACAGGACCCGAAGGGGTCGGGACAGGGCAGCCAGAAGCCCGCCACTGCCCTCTTCAAGAAAGCCGAGGGCGATGCTGCTGCCGGCAAGAGGAAGGCGGCGACCAAGGGGTCCCCCCCCCCCCCGGCTACCAAAAAGCCGAAGAAGGGGGATGTCGCCGAGAAGGAGCCCCCGGTCATTATTGCTGATGAGCACCCCGCCTCCGGGGTGCATGTGGAGAAGCCGTCGGGCGAAACGCCGGCGGGGGCAGAGGAGTTGCTGCCTGAGGTCCTCCAAGTTTTGTTCCCGAGGGGGACATCCCTGGCCAGCGGCGCTGTCGACCCGGGGGCCATCTTGAGGGGCATAACCCCTGAGACTGATAGGGCTGCCCTCGGGGCCTATAACGATGCGGCCCTCGAGGACCACATTCTCCGCTCCTCCCTTTCTGTAAGTGTTTACTCAGCTTTCTTCCTTTTCTCCTTTGATTATATTGTGCAATTGCCTTTAACCGTTTTGGATGTTGGTCTGCAGGCTTGTCTAGCCCTCGGTGAACATGCCCGGAGGCTTCAAGAATGGCGCCTCCATAAAGCAGAGCAGGATGCCAAGATGAAGGAATGCATCCTCAAAAACAAGGAGGCGGTGAAGTTGGGGGCCAGGCTGGAAGAGGAGCTTCGGCAAATGGAGCTGAGATTGGGGGCTGCAGAGAAGGGCAAGGCCGATGCTGAGGCCGCTGCTGAGGAGGCCAGGAGAGCTGCCAAAGAGGCCGAGGACTCCAAGGCGCTAGCCGTCGCCAAGGCTCGGGAGGAAGTCGTGGATGCCTTCGTCGCCGAGGGCTGGAGGGCCGAGGGACGCAAGATGTGGTTGTCCTCGGTCGTGGAGGCACACGTCGAGGAATGGGCCGAGGGCCCCGGGTGGGAATGGATGGCCCGGAAGGGCAGAGAATATTATGAGGCCGGCGAATTCTTCACCCAGGCCCTCATTTACCGGAGGATGGCTCGGCATTTGGGCATTGAGCAAAAAGATTTCTCCCCCTCGGCGTATGGCCTTCCTCCCCTGCAGCCTGATGTCCGTGAGTCGCTCCCGGAAGGTGTTCAGAGGCCCGATCTTGAGGACACGGAGTTGAAGAATGAGGTCGAGGACGACGCTGTCGAGACCGGAGCGGAGGCATCATCGAGGCCGGCTGCAGAGGGCACCCTGGTGAATGACGCTGTTGTAGTTGTAGAGTGACTTTGTACTTAGAAATCCTTGAACATATTTTGTAATGAACAACATTGATCCTTCGGCTTCGGCCTGTTTGTAAATTTCACACTTACTTTGTTTGTGATGAATGCATGCTGCCCCGGGGCTCTTTACATTTGAATGCGCCTTACGTTTTGAATGTATGCCTTCTACTTCTTGAGTGTATGCCTTCGGTATTTTTGAATGTATGTGTAGGACTTAGAATATTTTTCGATTGTAGCGTGCCTTTGGAAGCCTTCGGTACTTGGGCACCCTCTGCTGGGTATGCAACCGAGGGTTCAGCAGCAGTTAGGACTTAGAAAATTTTTCTAAGTGTAGCACACCATAGGGCCTTCGGGCGTTTGTAGTAACCCGAATCCTAGGACTTAGAAAAATTTCTAAGTGTAGATATCCCCTTGCGAGCCTTCGGGATATGGCATCCCTTCCTGATGCGTGAATGTTGGACCGAGGGCCCAATGCACAGGACTTAGAGATTTTTTTTTTTTGCAAGTGTAGTATGCCATGTAGCCTTCGGCTACTGTGGAGCCCCAACTGAAATATTGAATAGGCCGGGGGCCAATTCTTTAGGACTTAGAAAATTTTCTTGAGTGTTGATTCCTTGTGTACTGTAGCCCTCGATTGATAGGTAGCCTTCGGCAATTAGGTCCTTTGAGATGAGGGTGAAATATGTAGGACTTAGAAAATCTTCTAAGTGTAGAGTTTCCCTTGGGAGCCTTCGGGAGGTGGCGTCCCTCCATGAGGTATGAGTAGCTGACCGGGGGGGGGGGGGGGGGGGAATATGCAGGACTTAGAAAATATTCTAAGTGTAAAATCTCCCTTGGGAGCCTTCGGGAGATGGCATCCCTCCTTGATGTATGAGTAGTTGACCGGGGGAGAAAATATGTGGGACTTAGAAAATATTCTAAGTGTAAAATCTCCCTTGGGAGCCTTCGGGAGATGGCATCCCTCCTTGATGTATGAGTAGTTGACCGGGGGGGGGGGGGGGAATATGTGGGACTTAGAAAATCTTCTAAGTGTAGATTTTCCCTTGGGAGCCTTCGGGTGATAGGTGCCCTCTGATTCCACATCACTTTGCGAGATGCCCGAGGGCTACTCATTTAGGACAGAATACCTTTTTTTTAAGTGTTGTTGTATTGCATGGCCTTCGGCCACCATATTCCCTTGGCTGTAATATTGATTGGGCCGGGGGCCCAATCTTTAGGACTTAGAATTTTTTCAAGTGCTGCTTCCCTGTGTAGCCTTCGGGTGATAGGGGCCTTCTGACTCTACATTACTTTGCGAGATGCCCGGGGGCTGCTCCTTCAGGACTTAGAATTTTTCCTAAGCATAAATTGATGTTGAATCCTGTTGTTGTGAAGAAAGCCAATGAGGAGTGTGTGCCCTCGGCATACACTTTAAAAGTTGTAGGATTTGACCCTTGTCATGGGGAAAGGGCCCTCGGTATTTGTGCATAACAGATGCCTTCGGTGTTTGTTTGAAGTACCGTTTAGTGGACCTTGGATAGTCCAATCCCTTTGTATTGTTGAAGCCTTCGGTGTCTGTGTGATCGGAGGTGACCAGGCAGTGGACTTAGCCGTTTCCTGATGATATTTGTTTGAGTGGTATCCTTCGGGAAACAGGATCCTTTAATTACCGGAGGTGTCCCCATGGGGAGCCCTCGGGATGTTGTGATCTGTTGGAGTGTACTCTTTGATTTCTCGCTGAGTCTACTCCCCTTCACCGCCCCCCCCCCCCCCCCCCCCCCCCCCCTTTTTTTTGGTTGGTGGTGAAGGGAAGGCATCAAGAAACTTGGTTTCTTGGTAAGGCTGGGCCTATTAGGAGACCATCAGAATACACCAATGGCTCTCCTCCCTCGGGTTAACCTTCCGAGTTCCGAGGGGATCGAGGGACGTTTCCTGGGCACAAGATATGGTGGTCCGTAACCTGCCTCCCCTTGGGGGATGGCGCGGAAAGCGCCTCATTTTTGAAAGTCGTCCCCTCGGCGCTAGACATAGTCCGTGGCCTGCCACACCCTTGGGGTGGTGGCGCGGGGAGCGTTTCGGTTTGGAAGTCGAATCCTGGGCATTTTTCATGCATGTCATACCCTGGGGGTAGTGACGCGGATAGCGTTCCGTTTTTGAAAGTCGAATCCTGGGCATTTCTCATGCATGTCATACCCTGGGGGTAGTGACGCGGAGAGCGTTTCAAGGAAGGGTTTTCATTTGCACACTAGTTGCAAATGGCCGGGGGCACTACGTGTCGCCGGCACCGATGGTGGCGCCTTCGGTATATGCGTCCTCGTGGGGTACGGCTTTTAGAAACAACACTTGGTGTTAGTTTCGATGTGTAGCCCCCGGTACTTGGTACCGAGGGGTCTTCTGTAGGAACACTTGGTGTTCTCTTTTGTCGTAGTTGATGTAGGCGTCTACCCTCGGTACTTGGTACCGAAGGGTCTTCAAATGAAACACTTGGTGTTTCCCAACAGATGTTTGGAAGTTGATAGGAGAGCATATCCCTGGCACTGGGTGCCGAGGGGTCTTCTTTGATGATGTTTGATGATGGAGGTGTACCCTCGGCACTGGGTGCCGAAGGGTCTTCTGTAGGTACATTTGGTGTTCTCATCTTTTCTTTTTTGATGTTGGAGGTGGGGATGTACCCTCGGCACTGGATGCCGAAGGGAAATGAATTACATGTCGTTCTTTGTTGTTGGTGATAGGAGTTTCCTCCCTCGGTATTTGGTACCGAGGGGTCTTGAGAGAAAAACCTGTGGTGTTTTCACTGTTGTTGCAGGTGTTGATGGTGTCCGCTCTCGGCACTCGGTGCCGGAGGGGGTTCTTCTCGTGGTGAGGCCTGGGGCCTGTAGTCAGTATGGGGGGATGATGTCTTGAATGTGTCTTCATTCTTCGAAATTGGAGGCCTTGGGCCATAGGATAGTACATTCACTAGTTATGAGGGCTTGGCCGCTCTTACATTATTGATAAAATTTAACTAAATGGTGTACATTCCAATGCCTAGGGACTTCTTTCCCGTTGGGGCGTTTGAGCTTGTAGGTCCCAGGTTTGATGATGGCTGCTATGATGTAGGGGCCTTCGAATTTTGGTGCCATTTTTCCTCCCTCGGTTGGTTGGCTGGCTTCCCTCCTCCGGAGGACATAGTCCCCCACTTGAAATTCTCGGGTGCGAACTTTGGCGTCGATGTAGCTTTTAACTTGCCTTCGGTAGTTTTCTGCCCGGATGAAGGCCTGCTCCCGGCGTTCTGAAATGAGGTGGAGGTCGAGGGCCATGTTGCTGTCGTTGACCTCGGGGTCATACTGGATCACCCTTCGGGTGGGAAGGGTGACTTCCGTAGGAGCTTTGGCTTCAAAACCGTAGCAGAGGGAGAAGGGTGTTTCACCTGTTGCTCGCCGAGGGGTGGTGCGGTAGGCCCAAAGGATGTTGTGGAGTTCTTCTACCCAGCCACCGCCCTCGGCCTCCAGCTTCTTTTTGAGGCCCTCGAGCAAGGTCCGGTTGTTATTCTCTACTTGCCCGTTGCCTTGAGGGTAGGCAACGGAGGAGAAGGTGTGTTTGATGCCCCATGCCTCCAGAAGGGCACAGAAGGGGGCTGCCTCAAATTGTGTCCCATTGTCGGAGATGATCTGCTGGGGGACGCCAAACCTTGTGAGGATGTTCTTGAGGACGAAGTGACGGCACTTCGCCTCTGTGATGCTGGCGAGGGGTTCAGCCTCCACCCACTTGGTAAAGTAGTCGACGGCCACAATGATGTACCTGTTGTTGGAGGTACCCCTCGGCAGAGGGCCCACGAGGTCTATCCCCCATCGAGAAAAAGGGACAGATGTGCTGATGGGGGCATAGTTGACCGCTGGCCTGCCGGGGGCTTTCTGGAAATGTTGACATGCGGTGCACCTCCGGGAAAGGTCAGCACAATCTCTGGCCATGGTCGGCCAGAAGTAGCCATGGAGAATGAGCCTTCGGGACATGGAGAAGGGTCCCTGGTGAGCTGAGCAAGTGCCACTGTGCACTTCCTCCATTGCGACCTCGGCCTCATCTTGGTGAAGGCATCGAAGTAGCGTGCCGTTGTAAGATCGTTTGTAGAGTCTCCCATCTTCGATGGTGTAGCTAGGAGCCCTCAGCTTTGTCAGTTTAGCGCGGGTCTCATTCTCGGGTAGCTGCCATGTGGAGATGAAGGCGGTGATATCTGAGATCCAATCCTCTTGGCGTTGTTGTATGTTCATCACGGGGCTTGCATGGATACTCGAGAGGCTGAGTTCCTCAATTTTGGCAATTTTGGAGATATGCTCGGGGGAGTCGGCCGAGAGTTTAGATAATATGTCGGCCTCGGAGTTCTGAGCCCTCGGTATTTGAGTGAGAGAGTGTGCCTCAAATACCTTAAGCAACTCCTTGGCCGCTTCCTTGTACTATTTCATCCTTCCCTCCTTCGCCTCATATTCCTCGGAGATTTGGCCGACGACCTACTTGGAGTTGCATTTGATGTGGATCTGCCGAGCCCTCATGTTGGCAGCCAGCCGAAGGCCACATAGGAGGGTCTCATATTCGGCCTCGTTGTTGGAGACTTTGAAGGAGAAGCGGATTGCATAGTACGCTCTGAAGCCCTCGGGAGTAATGAGGACTACCCCTCCCCCGCATGCTTTGGTCGCGGAGGAGCCGTCAGTGTAGAGGGTCCACCAATCATCCGAGGCCGCCGAGGGCTCCCCGTCCGTGGCTGCCCTTGCGGTACACTCCGTCACAAAGTCTGCCAGGGCTTGGCCCTTGATGGCAGGCCTCAGACGGATGTCAATGTTGTACTGGCTCAAGAAGATAGCCCATTTCACCATGCGGGAGGAGCTGGTGGGGCTCCTCATGAGGGCGCCGAGGGGTTGATGGGTGAGGACCTGAACCGGGTGAGCCTGAAAGTAGTGGCCCAACTTCTTGACGGTCCAAACGATGGCCAACACTGTTTTTTCCACAGGGGAGTACCTGAGCTCGGCCTCCCTTAGGGTCTTGCTAACGTAGAAGATGGCATGCTGGATGCCGTCTTCCTCCCGGATGAGCACAGAGCTGATGGCCGCCGGGCTGACCCCAAGGTAGAGGTAGAGGGTCTCCCCTACCTTGGGTTTGGAGAGCACAGGAGGTGAA